CCCCAAAACCCCAAAACCCCAAAACCCCAAAACCCCAAAACCCCTGATTTGGAATATTCACTTGAAAAACAATGTTTTTGTCACATCTAGGATAACAAGATATTTTAGTAAGGGTTAGGATTAACCCAAGGAAACTTTCTGCGCATGAAGATATACTTCTCCTGTTGGTCAGAATTACCCTGTCTTTTGCAGTTATAATAGCATTTGATACCTCATATGACTGGGAAAATTAGGAACAGAACCAGTATTAGGATTGGGATTAAAAAGACGAGAAGTATGAATAAACAAGGAGCAATGAAACATTCCACAAAGCATCTGCTATGCTTCTTTCTGATGGATATATTAAAATCAATTTTCTCGTTATTGCCACACAAAGAGCATTGGTAGTATCACAAGATGAAAGGAGCACATATTATTTCCATCATCACCATCAAGGGGACACAGAGGAAGGAGCAAACTATGTTTGTCATTCTTTCGTTTTCCATAGGATGACAAGCTTTGAATGGATATAGCTCATGACCTTCAGTATACTTCTTCTTGCAATAAGTACATATCTGGTACCCGCATTCTGTGCACTTCCAATAGAAAGCTCATTCTCTGATAACCTTGGCAAACTTACAGTACTCGACTCCCTCCTTTCTTCATTTAGCCACAATGTTTTGGTCTGCGAGGAACTCCTTTTCCTCTTCGTCAGTGGTCCCATTCTTTCTTTCTACTTTAATCTTAGTTCTGGGGCACTTGTGGTCGTCTTCATTCAGACACTTTTTATATCAGAGTACTCAGAACGAATGGCCGCACTCACAAGTGGCTTTCTAGTAGGGTTAGGTTGAAGACTTACTTTTGGGATCTTCTTTGCAGCTAGACAACATCAGAAAAGGAACAGAAGCAGGATAGATGAAAAGATACTTACCATAGTTCAGCTTTGGTAGGATAACTTCACCACTCTCACAGACAGGGCAGAAGAAGAGCTCTTCGTTGTCGTTTAGTATTCTAACTGAGTTTTCATCATCTGAATTCTTTGCAACCGGCCTTGTCAAGCCGGAGTAAAAATCTCCCTCAATAGGAACTTTTCAGAGAGGACAGAAGGGAAGAACTTTGCGCTTCATCTGATTTTCACAGTGAGACTTGATTCATTTCTTACAGAACTGGTGAGCACACTTTAGTGTATACAAGTCTTTGGTTGGTCTATCATCAAGAGGATCAAGTCAAATTTGACAATTTGATAAAGGATTCATATATTCGTATTAATTATATTTAATAATTCCTTCTTCTTAAACCATTTCTGATGCATGACTCGGGGTTTTGGGGTTTTGGGGTTTTGGGGTTTTGGGG